AATAATAATAATAATAATAATAATAATAATAATAATAATAATAATAATAATAATAATAATAATAATAATAATAATAATAATAATAATAATGATAATAATAATAATAACAATAATAATAATAATAATAGTAATAATAATAAAGATAATAATAATAATGGTAATTAATAATAATATTAATAACGGTAATCGCTATCCATATGAATTACTGATGCATACTTTTCATTTGTGAGAAAAAAGTTAGTAACGGCTTCTTGTTCAAAGAATTTCTTTAACTACTATCTTACGAACGTTTATTCCAGAAATGAAGTACTACTCGCCATTTAGGACTGATGCTGGTACGATGTGGTAAAGTTAAAAATTTAATTTAAAAATTTAATTTAAAAGCTTGAATTCGTATTTATAACACAAAATAATTTGTAGAAGAAATTCAAGTATAAGTTGAAATTCAATAAATCTCTGCCTTCAATCGTTAAATCTTCCTTGGAAAACATTTCATAAATGCATTCAGATTATTTCCAAAAAGTCGTGAAAGTAAACATGATGGGTTCTCAAAATTTCACTTCAAGTAGCAATTCCCTGAAGAGTGCCCTATATAATCTCGAATTTCTTCTGCTTCAGCATTTATCTTTCAGTAATATCTCGTCATTTACGAGGAATTGCTCGTATCTTTTGACTTAAAAAAGTTTGTCATAAAAAAAAGGAAGTTTACATTAACAGAGTTCTTGTTTATCCATGGGAAAGTGAAACTTCCCAGTAAGTTGCCTCGCAAATTTTATCTTTCCTATTTATGCGTTGTTTATCAGGAATTTCCAACCTAAAAAAAAATTTGACTATTAGGTGGAACAAAAGCAAAGGACGAAATCAAGCAGTCTTCCTTAGAAATTGAACATTTCAATCTTTCAAAATTATATTCTTCAGGATTTAAGAAAAATTAAATTTGTGTTTAAATCAATAAAGAGTGGAGGAAGGAAATATTTGAATTCTTTACAAACAATTTTTTAGAAAATTTTTTCGCGGAAAACCGTAACATTATTTAGGCTAATAAAAAGTTGCTATTTATTGCAGCTTGTACATTAACATTATTACAACGGGTAAGTATTAGCGTGTATGTAAGCCAGAAATGTTAATATCTGTCGACATTATTGATGACCGCTTCAGGGGCTTTCATATGCTGTCTGTTTGTTCTGTCCATTCATCCGGCATTAATTACAGTAGTAGATTGGCTGACAGATTTATTGGTAGAATTTAATGAGAAATTGGGGACAGCCAATTTGCATTATTGTGATTATTAAAGGCATCCTATAATTATTTGTAATGAAATTTGGACAAGGTCTTATTGCGCTTTGCACAACATTTCGGGATATACCAATAGTTCACATTTCAGGATATTAATCATTAAAAACAAAAACTGTAAGTTATGTAACCTAGAGTAACTGGTAACCGAACATTTCAAACATTTTTTTGCAACCACCAATTCCAAACACAGTAATATTCTACAGTAGTCATTTTAGAGAGACCAAAGTGGATGGAACAAAAACAAATAGAAAGAATAAAAAAATTTGCAAAAAAAAATGGGAGAATGAAAGATGAAATCCTGAATGCTTAGGAAATTATAAGCTAATGAAAATAAAACGAATGTTATTAGCTCTCAACTAAAATCTTTGTATCTTTTTTTTAAATTTATGAAAATTTGCACCGTTAACAGGTTCTGTTCTGTCTCGTTTCGACTCATTATTTTTCTAAATTGAAAAAGTTTTGATGTTTGGAGAAGTGAAAGAGAAAAACTGGAAT